CTCCCCCTCCCCTCCTCCCCGACGCCCCCCGGCGCGGCTCCTGCTCCGCGGTGAAGCTCTGAAGCTCTCATTACAGTGATTGATGTGGGAACACTCTCAAGGCGACCGAGAGGGTCATTACCGAGCCGATATACGGCTGGCAAATAAAGCGAGGCCGGAGCGCATTGTGAGAACACGTCCTGGTGTCCGAGGTGACGGGGCCGTTGGCTCTCCGTCAGTATACGTTGGAGTTGGACAGGTCAGTGCTGCCGCGAGGACCGCGAGCGAGAGACGAACGTTTACGAAGCGTCCGTTTTTAAGGTGCTGCGAGTCTCCCGCCGCCAAGACAGAAACTCATACATGTTACATTTCGCTTCCGATGAGTAGAATAAAATTGTACTCATGGACTAAGTTGAAAGATTTTATGTTAATGGTATGCTCTATGTCCTTTTTCGCAAGTCGTTGAGAGCAGAGGATCCCGTTAGCTGGTAATCTGTCGCGGGGTGAACGTTTGAAAGTATTTTGTCAGGTTGGCAACAAAAAGAAGACTACTTTGCTTTTGTTATTGTTGCAAACTTTATTTATACTTGATCAGTCTGTTATTTGCAGTACCAGCACTGTTACTCAGCCAAGATCTTGTCTGTACTTGTCATCTGCTGCCTGAAAATTGTGAACTTTAAGTCTAGAGTCAGGAACAGTCTTTAGAGATCGTGCGTATTATAAAATATTAGACGGTCAAACCTGGTCAGACACCTCCTTGTGTGTCCATCACATCACAGCCAGGCTCAGCTGCTGCCTGCTGCTCGTCTTCCTGTTCTTGTCATATTTGTGTTTGCCATGATTCGAAATCTTATGTGGAACGGAAATTATTACGTTTGAAACTAGACTTCGAGAAGCTGAAGGAAGAGTTGAGGCATGGATGTGCACGTGTTACTAATATCACCAACAAAATTGTCTTGATCTCCAAATTTGTGTTTTGTATGGCCGTCGAGAACTGTGAAATCTATAGGATTTAAACTTTTGTGATCGAGCTCTATTGCCCTCTAAAGCTTGCTTTAACCTACGAAAATGGACATGAAAGCTAGCGCCTTGAAGGGCGCAGACAGAACATGGCACTTGAATTGGTTGCGCATGAGAGAAACTGGACAAAAAGTACCTCTAGGTTATGGAAACAAATTTTCGAAGTTCCTATATTCATCAATGAGCCCGCACTCTTCGTGGGAGCAGGGCGAGAATGTGCGAGGTTCGCACCACGGTGGTGTTTTCAACCTCGAATTTTCTCCTGATGGGTGAGTCATTCAACTGCTCAACCACCCTATCTGTACTGTTTTTTTTCCAGTGTCCAGCTAACAATATTTATTGCAGTCTCCCCTGCTCAAAGATTTTTGTCCGATTCATTGTATAAGCTTCAGTTTTAGCTCAGTCTATTCCATTCAATTTGTCATTATTTTTATTACGTCAACAGTTACTCCCCTTTTTTAATGATAGAAAAATATTGTTTTGCAGATTTGCATATGCTCTAATCCCCTTTATTTTAATTTGGTGTTACAGATCTCTATTGGTAGCTGCTTGTGAAAAGCGAAGTTTCCTAATGTTTGATGCTCTTTCTCAAAAACAAGTGCATGCTGTAGAAAATGCTCATAGAGACTGTGTTAATTGTGTGAGGTAAGGATTTGTGATGAAAAAACTACTTTGTATCAGTGTAAAATATTTGTTAAGCTTGCACACTACTGTTCAACCATACATTTGTTTGGTTTTAGGTTTTTGGACTCAAGAACTTTTGTGACATGTAGTGATGATAGTACAGTTGCATTATGGGATGCAAGAAACCTGAAGTCAAGTATTCGAACACTGCACGGTCACTCTAACTGGGTTAAAAATATAGAGTATTCTCAAAATGATGGTTTACTTGTCACATCTGGGTTTGATGGAAGTATTTATACATGGGACATTAATAGGTATTAAAACATATTTAAAAGTATTATCCCTTAATTGAACTGTGTGAACAGATTGTATTTTTTAATTCTTTTACTTTCAGCTATACAGAGAATGGATTTAACTATGAGAGAGTGTTTCACACCAATGGGTTGATGCGCACTCGCTTAACTCCTGATGCATCAAAAATGATAATATGTACCACTGGTGGTTATCTCATGATTATTCATGATTTGAACTTGCGCACATTGGCCCAAGATTTACATGGATTTAAGGTTTGCAAAGTCCCTGTGTTTGCTGTGAACCATTTTTCTGCATTTCATATATATCTTCTCATATTAATAAATTGCCCTTACCTTTGTTTTGTAGCCTAATATGTACAGACTAATGCAACAAAGTCAGACTACTATTCCATCAGCCTCTGTTTTCACATCTTTGTTTTCCAAAAAGCGTAAGCACAATAGGATTGAATTTGTGTCAGATTTCCCAGCCCATAATGATGCAGAAGTTGTATCATCGCTTCAGATTCACCCTCAGGGGTGGTGTGCTTTAAGTCGAAATATTAGTCATGAAGAATTATCAGAGGTCAGTATTTATTGGTTACCTATCGGATGCATTGATTTTATTTTAATACAGTAAGTTTGCATCTAATCAAAATTTCACTTTTAGTGGACCTGTGTTCATGATATCCAAGACAGAGATGATGAAGATAGTATGACTGAAAATGAAGACTTACCATCAGCTCTCAGAGAGGATAGTGATGATGTTCTTTATGATGAGGATGATGATGGAGCCAATTATCGAGGTTTCCGCGGGTTCCCAAATCCAAACTATCAAAGTGATAGTGAGAGTGATGGGGATTCTGATTCAGAGTATGTATTTCTGTATCATTCAATTATTTATTATCTTTGAAGAAAGAAGGATTCAGGAATATAATTTTGTTTTTATTCTCTTTGTTTCAGTCTGGTCCCTGGTGCCCTGACATCTGCAACCCGGGGCAGTTCGCGAACCAACAACAGAAACGTTCGTCCAGAAGCTGATGGTAGTGACAGTTCCTCTAGCAGTGATTCGGAGGTTGTAAACCCAAGGAGAGTGCGCAGTGCCCAAAACACAACTCAACGAGCACCTGTTGGGAGGTAAGTGAAGCTTTAGTTTTCCCTCTAAACCAATTTAACTAGGAACGGCCTTATCAGTTTATGTTGGAATTCTACAGATTTCATGCTCTTTTGGAAATAACTCGATTTAGCAGTACCACAACCCGCCTTTTGAGTGATGCCTCACCACTTTTCCGGGAATCACCCACCTCACCGTCAAATAATGTTTCTCCTTCACTTCCAAGTAGACGCCCAGCTAATCGTAATGGAGCACAAGGAGAGGGAGTCAATGCTAACCCGGTTCATAGACGCGGAGGAAACATCAGGAGAATGATGATAACTGTGGATGGACAAGTTCAAGTGAGTGATGATGACTCATCGGGAGAGCCAGCTTCAAATGTGAGAGTAGTAGATGCCCAAGAATCAAATAGGTCAGCTGGTTCTAGTCGAGCAACTGGTAGCAGACCCCCAAGGGGAAGGTTCTCACTTCGATCATCTTCAAGTTCTGGCTCATCAAGCTTGAGCTCACCAGCAAACTCAAGAGAAAATTCCAGACCTAGTAAGCAAAGATGACAGTACTAAACACTGCTTATGATTGGTATGTGAGTGAATATCAAATTACATTTTTGTTCTTTTAGTTCCAGGGTCTAGGCAAGCATCTTCAACTTCAACTAGGCAATCAGCATCTGACACAGGCACATCTCCACAGAGAGGAGGGACACTTACCTCTCGTTTAGCTGAGTTAAGTTCATTTCGTAGGTCTTCTTCAAACAGTACACAGGCAACCACAAGTAGCCAGAGACCTCCCAGTGCCTCCCAGAGTACTTCACAAGACAACCCATCAAGTGCACCACAAAATTCTACCCCACGTCAAGAAGCCCGTAGTCAAGCTCCTCAAGGATCTTCTCAACGTGGCTCAAGAAGTTCCTCTGAGAGCTCCCCACCAACCGAAGCTCAGGATGCTGCCCGAGCTCGACCCATTGGAAGTGCCAATGCTGGACCTAATGAAACAGCTAATGCTGCAGCAGCTGTTGGTGCAGCACGGCAGGCACGTGGTGGTCAAGGAAATATGCCTTTGTCACAAAACATGGAACTACATGTTGCATCAGCTGATGTTTGGGAGGCTCTTGTGGTGATACGGGAGGCTAGGGCTCGTCGTCAACAAGTACCCTATCGCAACACAAACTCAGGCCGCGATCGAAGGGACCTTATTTCTAGATTTTTGAGGCGGTTGCAAGATTTGAATGAATCGCCAAGACCTCAAGCCTTAGTAAGTAACTAATAATTGGCAGTATTTGCTCTTAAATTTTTGTAAGTGTTAAATGTCATCTATTTGAACGATTCTTCCCTGTTTATTTCAGGCTAATACCTCTGGAAGTGGCAATAGCAACACCAGTACCAGGAATGCAGTAAGTGTTCTATCAGTACCTGGTTCCCAGTTACCTCTACATAAATTTTGAAAGTGCATTCTCTGAATTCTGTCTGGTTTGTTAAATGTGTTCTTGTTTTCAAATTGCAGACCAATACAAACAGTGCTGACTCCAGTCGTAGCAATTCTGAAGCTAGTTCAAGTGCTCCTCTCCCTGACAGACCAAGACGTTTACTAAGGATATCACGATCAAGGCAGCCTCATAGGCAAGGTCAGGCACCAGCAGCAATTGCTCTTTCACATTTTTTGAGAAATCCTACTCCTGGTGCGTGAACATGGATTTTCTTGTCTTTAGTTTTGCAATTGCTTCTTTTGATCTGTTTTTGTATTGTTTTTCATAGTTTTAATTGGTCATTATCTTGTTATTTTTCTCTTTGTCTTTTAGCTACCAGAACTTTAGTGATGATTGCACCACACCAAGGAGGAGCTCAGAATATCCATCTCAGAGTGTCTCCTAATTCATATTCTTATCAGAGTCAACAACTCAGAATACCAAGGTAAATCAGTACAGTATCTCTGAAGGACCCTTCTCATGGGTGGTATCACAAATTTGGTGAGTAGGCAAAGTACATATATAATGAACGCCTCTTTTTCTGTTATTAGGAACCATAAAGTTCATCAGAATATGCAAAGACTTTCGCATTATATTGAAGAACCCAATGTTGGAAAAGGTTTTATCAAAGAGCTATGCTTCTCATCAGATGGCCGTGTAATGTGTTCACCTTTCAGCTATGGAATTCGATTGTTAGCATTTACTCCAGACTGCCAAGAGTTAAGCACATCTCTACCATCAGAACCACCTGTCAGGTTGGTTCATAAAAAATAATATTGCTATTAGTACTTGTTTTCTTTTTATTAAGATTATTGAATCTAACAATATTTACTCTTTTTATACAGGTTGTATGAAGTTTCAGAAAGGATGTGTCATGAAGACTATGTAGTTAGTAGCAAATTTTCGCCAACACATTGCTTACTTGTTTCGGGTTGTTTAAAGGGTCAAATAGTCTGGCATCAGCCAAATTTATAAATTATTCAAAATTTTCAAATTGGCTTGGCCTTTATTTAGGCTAGGCATCTGGGCTTTGGTCAAGTCAGAAGCCTCTGCTTGGTTTGCATTCAAAAAAACCTTTTGTTTAACAGACTGCTATTCTTATTTACTGCGCCAATCTTCTTTTGGTTGGTGAGTTATGTTCATTGTAATGAACTTCTTATCATTTGTGATATATATTTTTCTTTCTTTTTTTTTAAATCTATGTATATTACTATATAGTTCATTAACTCTGTTAGTCCAATGAATCGTGTGATAAGATTTTATCATTGCTCGTAAATGCAGTATCATGTACTTCAGAGAGACTTACATTTGATTATTTCATCTTAATTTTTGTTACCAGATTATGGGTAGTTAAAAATTTCTGGATCGTTATTGACTGTAAGAGTGGGTCTTGAAAGTTTGCTATCAAAATACATTTTGATTAAAGTATTCTGCTATATTAAATTGTTAAAGATTTGCCATAAAAGTACACTTTGATTTTAGTATTACTATTATTAAATTCATGACATTTTCAAAGATTTTTTGTGAGATCTCAAGAGTTTTTCCTAAGCCGTACTGCATGAACCATACTTATGCACAGTACTTGCTAGTAATTGTAAGATTCATTTTTAAAGGCCTAAGCTCTAAATTTTGTTTGTAGGTTTTGGGAAAAAGAGCTGTTTGATTTGTTCCTGTTCCTTATAATTTTTCTTCCCCCTTAATTCAATTGAAAATGTTTAGTACCCAAATTCTTACCGTTCATCTGTGTGCGGGCAAATTGTAAGCACTGTAATTTTGACCTTTAATTATTATGGTTCATAGCTGTAGTGCACGGGAAGAAAAAATTGGCACGGGGGTGTGCATTTCTGTTCCTCTCAGATTCAAAGAAATTCAACTATTTTCAAACATGGTAGGGTATTGAGGTGTCCAGAATTATACCTCTTTCCTTGAGACATCTTTTGTTCATTTGTGACTTAATTTCTACCTGCCAACAATCATGAGTTCTTTTGAAGGACTGATGATGATCATGATAATTTTCTAGGAGTTGAAAGTGAACATATGTTAGGCCAAGTAACTGTAAGTGGGGGCCTCACCATAAAATACTTTTGTTAATTAGCTGTTTGTCTACATTTATATTATCTGGAGAGGTAGAAATGTCTGTAGTGTTTTTTTTAAAGTGTTCAAAATAAAATGTTTCATGTACATGTTAACAGAGTTTATTATATCAAATATCAACATTGCATTCACTTAACAGGATCAAACACTCTGGAGTCACACAAGTACCTTACAGATAAAAATCTCTTCTTATGGGTCAATGTTTTGATACATTTATAATACAGTATATTTATCTGAGCCTCAGTGCATCATTTGAGATAACAGCACTATGTGCCTTTGAACTTTGATGCTATCTATATCACATTTATGTCTTTGAACCACACAATAATGAAGAAAGTGTCAGTCTGAAATTGATCTGAATTAACTTGATAAAGTCGTATTATAAAAAACTCAGCGACCATGCTCCTAAAATGTTTGTGAATCTTTCACAATCTGCTCACATGTTCTATTAACATAATGTTGTACCATAAATAAGTAATAACTTATGTGCTGATGACATGATTTGTGCTGTGTGCTTTTTCTTAAAGTTTCCTTTCCGCTCTCTGAAAAGAGCCTTTGTAAACATTTACAAGATGTACAATTCCAAGGAAATCTTTCTTTACTGTGGATAATCCCTTGACACATTCAGACGCACTCTCTCTCTCACACACACACACTCTCTCATACACACTAGCACGCGCACACTCACTCGGAAAAAAAAAAGACAAGGAAACATTTCAAGTTGATGGGTTTCAGTTTGAGCAACACATACATATGTACAAGTCCAGTCTTTATACCGGATGTTGGTGCCAATACAATGCGGCTACAGGTGCGGGTCGAGCGCTCCGCTCCGCCGTATTGACTCCAACAGCCAGGCTCATATCGCTAGCAGGGAACTCTCCGGTCCGCACTCAAGGCTGACACTAGCATGGCACACAACAAGGTGAGGACGAGGCCGGCACGGGCGCTTGAAGGAGCTCGGCCGGGCGCCGCACCCACGCCGTCGTGCTCGTCGTGGCCCTCATGTCCGGGTTCGTGGTGGGGCGAGCGCCGCTGCCGCCCCGCGTGCGCGTGCGCGTGCTCGTCGGCGCCCTGGTGACCCTGATGACCGTGGTGGTGAGTGGCATCCGTCTGTAGGGGGTCTTCTACCAGGGCGTGGCCGTGGACCAGGGCGAGGGAGTCTTCACCGCCGGGGGCACTGAGCGTCAGCAGCGGGGGGTACTGCGCCAGCGGCGTCTGCTGCACCTGCTGCGGCTGAAGCTGCGGCAGGTCGAGGGGCGAAGGCGCGGCGGGGATGGGCGGCGGCGCCTCGCCGAGGAACGGGCCAAACTGGGGCGTCCCCCGCACCAGGTCGGCGCTGCTCGGCGAGTGCGACTGGCTCTCCGGCGGCGGGTTGGGAATACTGGCCGCGACGGCGGGGTCCACGGCCTTGCCGTCGTACGTCACGATGGTGTGTGGCAGGCTGGGGAGGCCCTGCTGGTGGTGTCCACTGTACGACTGCTGTGGCTGGGCCGGCGCAGAGGGCGGCAGATAGTACGTGTCCATCCTCTCGGCCGCCATCATGGTCTCGTCCTGCATGTCGTCGTCTTCCTCTTCGTCCTCGTCGTCCTGGCTCCGCTCCTGTGGCTTGTCATCTTGCTTGGTGGCAGGGGTGGCGGCGGTGGTGGCCGCAGCATCCTGGTGCAGGTGCTCGGGGACAGGGAGGTTTTCTACTTCGTCCTCTTCGTCGTCGTCATCGTCCTCGATGTTCTCGCGGTGGCCCCGCCGCGCCTGTGCCTGTATCTTGAAGGGCGGCACCACCAGGTTGGGGTACAGTGGGCGGCCGAGGATGGCGGGCCTGGGCCGGACGATAAGGGGCGTCAGGCGGACGGGTTTGTCGCGACGCGCCTGCTTGCCGCCCTGCTTTGGCTTGCCCAAGGACTTGCCGGGCTCGCTGGCCTTCTTGGCGCCGGGCTTGAAGCTGTTGCGGTCGGGGGGCGACGGGATGAACATGGGCTCGAAGCTCTCGGTGCGGCGCTCCTGCTGCTTAGGCTGTTGCAGCTGCTGCTCCTCCTGGACTCCGTCGTCGTCGACATAGTCCTCGTCCTCGATCGCGACGTCTGAGCTGCGCCGTTCCATCTCGACCACGGAGCCTTCCATCAGATCGTCACCGTCGTCTCCGCCCTCGACGAAGGCCATGCGATCCTCGGCCTCGTCTTGGCGGCGCTGCAGGATAGGCTTGAAGCCACCCTCGACGACAACGGAGCTGGGGTTGAAACCCGTGTTGACGGCTAGGTTGCCGCCGAGGCCAAGCGACGGCGTGTGCTCCAGGGAAGACTCCGGGTCGAAGGCGGGTGACACGGGAGGGTGACCGTTGGACGACGGCCGATAGTAAGCAGGGAAAGACTGGACGCTGTGGTGGTTGGTGTGGTGGTTGGCCTGGTGGGTAGGGCGATGGTTAGCGTGGTGGTTGGTGTAGTGGTTGGCGTGCAGGGGCGAGAGGTGGTTGGGCCGAGAGAAGTGCGCTGGGATCGATACAGGGGCGGGGGTTGTGGTGCTGGTCGTGGAGGTGGTTGTCGTGGAGGTGGACAGTGCTGCGGCCAGCTTCTGAAGCTTGATGGCGTAGATCTGCTGCTGCTGCGACGCGGCCACGGCCTGCGCCTGCGCCTCCGCCTGCGCCTGCGCCTGCACCTGCGCCGCCATGATGGACTGCGCCAGGGTGGGCCGGAGCGTGGAGGAGTACAGGCCGGTGGTGGCGGGCATGCCCTGCAGGCCCTGCAGGTACAGCGGCCGCAGGGTGGTCGACGTCAGCATGCCCGCCGGGATGCCCGCGCTCGACGGCACGCGGAAGTGCGGCTTCTTCTTGACGACGTAGTTGTGCTGGGAGGGCGAGGCCATGATCATGCCTTGGCGCGTGGCCTGCTGCTGCAGCAGCATGGGGCTCATGCCGGGGCCCATGACGGGCCGGCGGATCATGCCGCTGGGGAGGCCGTGGCGGTGCGAGTGCATGTTGAGGGGCATCATGCCGTGCGGGAGCTTGTGCTTGGCGTAGCCCAGCGGGCCGTGGCCGGCGAGGGGTCGCGTGAGGGGGCCCAGGGCCATGCTGGCCAGGCCGGGCATGCGCAGTGGGGGGTGCGGTATGTACTTGAGCTGGTGCATCATGCTCGGGCTGAGCCCGGGGCCGAGGAGGCCGTGCGACAGGTAAGCGGGGCCGGGGCCCGACAGGAGGCCGACAGCGGCCGCCAGCTGCTGCTGCTGCTGCAGCTGTGGCAGCTGCGGAAGCTGTGCTGAGATTTTGGCGGACGAGACCGAGGCCGCGGCCGCGGGGCCTGCGGGACTAGACGCCTGTTTGTCCTGCTTGGCCGTCTCCTCTTTGAGGTGGTCGTAGAGGGTTGTCGGGTCTGCTTGGGCGGCCTGCGCCTGGGCCGCCTGGGCCGCCTGGGCCTGGACCCCCGCAGGGCTCTGGCTCTGGGCCTCGGCTTGGGCCTGGACATCGGACTGGGTCTGTATCTGCACCTGCAACAACCCGTGCAGTCCTCGTCTCACAGCAGCTCACAGAGCAGCTCACAGAGCCCATGTCATCGACTGATGTTGCTTCAACAGACCCCGCCTTCCTGGCCATGGCATGGCGGTGCACCGCTCGCCTGGGCCGCACCGCACCCGCACCACCACTCTTTTCATTTCTTTCATAACTTTCACATGGCGCGTCGTCCGGATTTTCACATTTGTCATTCTCCACTTCCTCAGTCAAAGCAGCATCGGTGGATGGTATGGCAACACGTACATCACTTCACTCTCCTACTTAACTCTAGAATTCACAAACATTTTGGGGGCTTAGAGCGCTAATTAGGCAGTCGTCGATCTGAAGCGAGGCCGCTAGTTTAGAATCTGTGGGGAGGAAAGGAGAGAAGGGAGAGGCTGGTCGCCAAGGACAGAATAAAAATTAAAATAAAAAATAGTCAAAAAATGGGTTCCTTATCGGTAGAATGAGTCACACAAGACACATGGCTGCGCCTGTGTTGCGCGTGGCTGGCAAGGCGTGGCGCTTCACGGTAACTTAACCTCGCACCGTCACAATAATCACAGAGTAGAAGCGGAAAAGCGGCGTATGAAAGTAAATGGCTTTGCACTTAAACTATATCTAAAGTGGGTCGGGTTGGGTAACTATTCGTTTCGTTTTCACGAAGCCTTATTTTCTCCTTATTTTTTTTCTCGTTCGCAGGTGTGAAGCAGCGAGAGGCAGCTGTTTCGCGCCGCGATGGGTAACATCATGGTAACTCTTTATTTGAGGTGCCCGGGACGCGCCGGGCCTAGGACTCCTGGAGCACGGCCTCAGGGGCGTCGTCGGCGTCCGCGGCACGCACCTGTGCGAGGGGCGTGTCGAAGGGGAAGGGCTCCTTGTCGTGGGCCGCGGCGAACTTCTCGATGCCCTTGATGAGCAGCGCCTGGTCCGCGTCGCTGATGAGCCCCTGCAAGCCTTTGATGTCTTGGAAGAGGTCCTTGGCGGGCACCGCGGAGCCGGCGGCGTTCGACGGCACGCGCGTCTCCACCTGGATGCTGGCCTTGCCGTCCAGGTCGCCGTCCTGGTCCGCGTCCGCCTGCTGCTTGTCGTCGTCCTTGTCGTCCTGGTGGACGGGGGCCGCCACCTGCGAGGGCACCGGCTCGCTAGCCGCACCCTGTGAGCCGCGGTCGCAGCTGTCCAGCACGTTGATCTTCCAGCCCAGGTAACGGTGGGTGAAGCACTGCGACAGGGAGAGTACAATAAGCTGATGACTCTGCCTCCGCCATGAAGGCTTCGCGTTCGCACGTCAAACACGATGCGCACCTGGTAGTAGACGGTGTCGGGGGTGTTGTGGTCGGGAGTCCACTGCACGACGCCAGGCTCGCCCTCGTCGCACACCAGGGTGAGGGTGCGCTGGTAGGCGCCGAACGAGGTGAACTCGTCCGCCAGTGGCTGGTTGGGGTCCGGGGTCCAGTTGCACAGGCGGCCCGTGCCCGTGGGCACGATGTTGCCGCGCTTGTCCTGCACCGCACCCGCAAAGATGCGCACGTTCTGCGAGAGAGAAACAACGTACGACCGATTAGCGTGAAAGCCTTGAATTTCAAACCGCAAAGTCAGTTTTAACAAACACTTCAGGCTCTACTCACGGCACGCTCCTCGGCGGTCTTGTGCTCGAAGCCGCCCACCGAGTCGTCGGTGATGTAGAAGGGGTGGTAGCGCGCAGGCGTCTCCGGGTCGAGGCCGCCCTCCACGACGAACGTGTAGGTCTTGCCCCTCACGACGTTGATCTCGGGGATGAGCAGGCCGTTGATGTACCAGGAGATGCCCCAGCCCACGTGGCCGGTGATGGCCGGGTAGCCGTGCTTGCCGCCCGTCGGCCCCATCTGCGCGTAGAAGACGCCGTCCTCCGGCTCGTGGCACTGGATGGGCGGGATCTCCCACGCCCCCTTGGTCGGGTGCGGCGCCGGGGTCGCGGGCGGCCGCGTCGTCACCGCCGTGCTCTGCTGACTCGCCGGCCGAGCCGGCTCGCGGTCCTGGTCCTCCTGGCCGCCGTGGCCGCCGTCGGGCAACGGGCAGTTCCAGCGCGGGGCGCGCCCGAACTCCAGGAAGATGTCATCTGCCGAACGCTCAATAAGTTATACCTCGCGGATATACAGCCTCACACAGTGCGTGCCTCCTGCTCAGCTCACCCCCTTGGGCGATTTGGATCATCTAGAAAGAACGTCCGTCATTCGTTGAGACGAACCTGCAAAGTTCAGCCTCTGCAAGCTCTCATAGCGCCTGGTAGGCAGGCAATATCTCATGTGCAGTGCACGCGTGTACTGCGGGGTGGCCTATCCTGTGGCTCGCAGGCGCCAAGCCACGACCGCAATGTGCCGAACGAATCTGAGAGAGACGGACCTGCTTTCTGGACGATCCCTAACGCTACCCGCTCCCCCAAGTCCTACATTCACTTACCTCGGTTGGCGAGCGAGTGGTACGACACTTCCTGGCGCTGGTTGAGAGGCCCGACCGCCCAGATGACGGGCTGCGAGCCGTTGGTGAGCACGGGCTTGTCCAACGAGTCCCTCGCGGCTAGTGGCCTTTGGTACGTGACGATGGAGTATCCGTTGACCAGGGCGGCGTTGAGCAGGCGGACGCTGTTCGAGTTGTCCTGAAAGGGATGATTGGATTGAATCTTTCCGTCTCATTTCTTCAACCTTCTTTGTTGTTTGAGCCAAGCGGACGCCGCCGCTGCTGCTTTACCTTCACGCGGGTATCGGGGCAAGAACCCCTGGTGCCGGAGCACTGCGACTTGGCGTCAAGGATGTAGTCCACGGCGGTGCCCTTGAGGGTGTTCTTGTCCACCCAGGCGACGACCACGTCTCCGCCCACCATCACGCTCTTCTTGGAGTCCCCGGACAGGCCAAAGGCCATGTACTCGTTATTCTCTGAAACAGCGATAGCAGAACGACTGTACCTCTTTGATTCTTTGTTTCTTTTCCGCGGGTGCAACGCCTCCGCTTACCTAGTTTGGCCACAAGCTGAAGCACGACGGAGTCCCCTGCCACGGCCCAACGAACCTCGAACGCCAAGTCGTCGTGGAGCACCTCGCAGTTGAGTTTCGACTGGAAAGAAGAAAACGTTGTTGAGTGGCGCACCATTTTCCTTCATGCGGTGTACTCCGTCGTCTTTTCCCAATGCGTTTTGGTGTGAAGGATTTACAAAACGGATTGAGGGGGTTACGATGAAGGTTGCAGAGGGGCCCAGAGGCTATTGGTCAAATATATATTTGCAGGCGACTCACCTTATAAATGATGCCTACAACATAATATCAACTATGCAGGGATTGCGATAATCCTTTGAGCTGAATACGGAAGGTAGTATTGGCACAAAACGACAAGAGGCGGGTGGTTTTTGGTAAGAATGTGTATTTAAATTAAAGCCATATAAGCTACAATACACTTCACATGGTAACTTTTTCACTTGGTAACGCAAATGCTTGACAAATCAATGACATAAATAACTGGGGATGGCAAATATACGGTTTCGTATGACACTTTGGTAACCTAATAGTAACTTCAAATATTAAACTAAATGACATGAATGACTGGGATAGAGGATGAACTGATTGATGACATGTGAATGAGGTTATGATATCTTTACACATGGCTGCGATGATTAGTTTTGCTGTAGTAGTGGTTCCTGCTACCTCCTCCTACTCCTACCTCATAGTTTATCACATTTACGTCTTTCTGTTTCGATAATTAAACCTAATTTAGAAAAAAATAATCATAGCACTAATTTTCTCATTTTCAAAAACTTTGAACGAATGTAATTTTGGTTGCTTTTCTTATTTGCGAGGGTCGGTAAGAGACGTGGCCGGGCTAGGGAGTCATCGATGACGACGGAATTAATTAAGGATTGAGAAAATAAATAAACCTAGTAACCTAAAATGTCAGCTAATACGTATCTTTGTACAGAAAATATTATACACTGGAATCTCGGTAGCGATTCCAACTTTCTCTCAGCGTGGTGTCTTATTATGCTTCGCACGGGTTGTTGGTGGGAGTGTGCGGTGGGGGCTGGCCGGTCCGGCCCGACAAGTAGCCTTTGGGCAGACCCGTGCAGGCCGGGCCGGACCAGACCGGGCCGAACCGATACGAGCCGAGCCCAGCAGGAGCCAAGCCGGGGGCTGGGCGGGGTGCCGGGCTGGGCCGAGCCGAGTCGGGGTAACTAGACGCGGCCAAAGCAAATGTCACGCTCCAATCGTCTACGTATCATTTTGAGGAAAAGGTGTCCAAGCATTACGTCGCACGCTGGACTACTGGGGTGGGGGAGGAAAAGGGGAGAAAGGACAGAGAAAGGCAAGAGAATGACAGCGAGAGAGGAATACAGAGAAAGGGAGAAGTAAGGAGAGAGGGGAGGGGAGAGGGGGAAGAGGAGAGCGAGGGATGAGCTAGATGACGCAACTCTCGCCAGTGCTCTACGCCGCCTGCGACGCTCTGTGTGGCAGAAGGAACCTGCTTCGTGACTGCGGCCCGAAAGTCTGGATCTGTCGCTGAACTAGCCTCCGGAACGAGTCTTGCTGCTGGAAAGGGTGCTGCTGCTGTTGCTGCTGCTGGAAGGGCTGCTGAAATCCCTGTTGATGCTGCTGGTTGAATGGCTGGTTGAAGGCGCGCTGTTGTGGTTGCTGCTGGAAGTTTTGCTGAATGCGTGGGGGCTGCTTCTGCTGAAAGTTCTGCTGGTGAGGGAACGGTTGCCGCTGGAACGACTGCTGCTGGAAGGGCGGCGGCTGCTGGAAGTTGTTGAAGGAGTTCTGCGGTTGTCGCGTGTCGGACCGACCGCCCCTCTCCAGGTTGTTGACGTCCACGTTGGAGTCGGCCAGGTTGTTGATGGCGTACAGGTCGCGCTGGTCCTTGAAGAGGAGCTGCTGCTCCGGCGGCGGAGAGATCCGCTCGAGCGGGGCGTGCGGCAGGCTCGACTGCTGGATCTGGAGGCTGCCGAGGAAGTTCTGCGCCTGCTGAGGCGAGGTGAGCTCTATGCCCTGGGAGGGCTGGATGGACTGGATGTCAAGCCCGGCGAAGGCGTTCGGCAGAGACACGCCGCCGAGGTTGAGGCGACCCTGATCGCGGCCCTGGTCGCGGCCCCGCTGCTGCTGCTGCTGCTGCTGCTCCTGAAGTTGCCTCTGCCTCTGGGCCTCCTCCTGCTGTCGCTGATGGCCCTGGAAGGCTTCCTGCCGCTGCGCATCCTGGAAGAGACTCTGTCTGGGCTGGTCCTGGAAGAACGCCTGCCGCGGCTGCTCCTGGAAGAACTGGTTCTGTTGCGGCCGCGGCTGATCCTGGTGCCCCTGGGCCAGACGCTGCTGCTGCTCCTCCCGCAACCTCTGCTGTTCCTGCACCTGCAGGAGGTGCGACTGTTGCAGGGCCGCTATCTTCAGGTCGTGCTCCTGCTGGAGTGTCTTGGGTTGTCTGAAGTCCTGTTGTTGTCTAAAGTCCTGCTGCTGCCTGAAGTCGTGCTGTTGTCTGAAGGGCTGTTGCTGCTGTCGGAAGTCCTGCTGCTGTTGCTGTTGCAGCTGCAGACGGTGCTGCTGGACGGAGAGCTCGTGCAGCTGCTGGAGCCTGTGCTGGCCACGCTGGAGGGGCGGAGGCGCCAGTTGGTCTTGTCGCTGCTGCTGCTGTTGCTGCTGCTGCAGAATCGGCTCGGGCGGCTGGTTGGGGAAGGGGCCTCGCTGATCGAAGTGGAGCAGGGGAATGGAGGGCAGGATCTGGACGGACGACTCGTCCTGGTTGGAAGAGGCCGGGTGCGGTCCCTGGCCCTGCCCAAGGCCGTGCCCGAACGGGCCCGCCAGGGGGCCGCCCAGTGACAGTGGCCCCGGGCCCGAGGGCCCCGTGGGGGCGGGCTGGCGCCGGTGGGTGTGGGGGCGGTACGTGGTGGGGCGCACGGTCTGGGCCGCGTTGAACAGCGAGAGGACCGACTCTGGGGGGGAGGACAGCCCTTGGCCTTGGGAGAGACCTTGGGAGAACGCGGGGTGAGACTGCAGCGAGCGCTGCTGCTTCTGCAACAGACAGACAGACGGACAGGTTAGGACAGCGGGTGGCGCCCCCCAGGACAACAGTCTGTGCGTCTGTTCCGTTTACCGTTCAGTCAGTCCATGCTGTTGCTCGCCGCTCTTCCGTGTCCGTTCGGTAGTCGTCTTCTTTGAGATGCATCGCCGTGGAGTTCAGTCAATCCTTGTCAGCCAGCGGCCGTTCCGTTCGGTCCACGTTACGTTTGAAGAAGTTTTGCGCTGCTCTCCGTGTTCCCCGTCGTATGGCGATCGTCTGGCAAAGCTTTAGGCGCCCTCCCCTCCGGTCGGGCTGCCCAACGCGACCGGGAGTCGTGGCCGAGGGCGCTCAGCGAGGGGCTCGCCTCCAGGTTAAGAAAGCTCCGGCGAGAGGGGTCGGGGTGGGTGGGGGCAATCGGGGAAGGGCCATGCGACGTGCGATCCTTGTGCATAACAATAGAAGTAGCAGAGCTTAAAAGCGTCCTCTTGCCGTTGGTGCTCCTGGGGGTGGGCGGGATGCTCAGAGCGGTGCAGTGCAGCAGAGACGAAGCTGGTGTAGCGGGGGTGCTGCGGCCTGTGCGGATCCGGCTGTAGGAGCTTTACAGCGGCTAGCGGTCTCCTGAGGTGCTGCGGCGCGGGCGGTGCCCGACGGTGCCGCCGGCTCCCAGAGCGTGCACGAGCCCGGAGGCCGAGCAGTGCACGGAGCAGAAGTGCGATATAGGGCCTCTGCGGAGGCCTCCACGACTCCTTGTCTGTATCGCGAGCGATCGAACGGGACTCGCTGCAGCAGCACGTCAATCACGTGGGCTAGACAAAGTCGTTCCCATGTCAGACACAAAGGGAGGCAAGGGCGGGCGTCCAGCGCCGAGCCGAGCGGAGCAGGCGGCGGCAGCAGCAGAAAGAGAGCGATTAAGCAACGCGCAGGAGAAGTGTGGGTCAGGGCGCCGCGGGGCGCGGCGGGCCGCCGTGACGGCCTCCGGGAGGAGCCCGGGGCGCGGCGGTGTCGCGCGCCTTCAATTGTCTGTCTGCCCCGGGCGCCCGCCACAATGCCCGCCCCGCCCCACCACCTGCCAGCGAGCGAGTTAGCACCAGCACGCCGCCGCCACCGCCGCGCCCAAATGCGTCGTCGCCGTGGGAGCCAAGCAGGGGGCGGGGGCGAGGTCGCTGCACTGACGTGCGCAAGGGGGTCTGCTGCTGGTTGCAGAGAGGGTGGCCGTAGGCCAGGTTATACCGCAAGGCGCGCAGACAGCGGTGGGCATGTGGAAGAGCACGCAGGTGCGAAGTTGTCACTTGGCGAGAGGGGCGGGTCGGGGGTCGGGTGGATGGATGGAGAAGCACGCCGGCAGTGTTAGTGGCGCGGGGCCAGCATGCGCGGGTCGGGCGCGCGCATTTTTGAAAAAAAGCTTTGGTTATGACCGGCGGCGCAGTCTGCGGCCGTAATTTTTGTTGTTTTTCATCTTTCGCCGTGCGGCGTCGTCGTCGAGGCGTCGTCGAGGGCGCCTGGCTAGCGGACGCGTTACTCACCTGGGGCTGGACGCCGAGCATCCGCAGCGAGGGAGGCACGCTCAGGGTCCTGGGGATCACCACGTGGCCGAAGTCCACGGCGAAGGCCTCGCACCAGACGCCGAAGTGGCCGATGTCGAAGACGGTCAGGTCGCCAGGCAGGGTGAGGACGAGGGTCTTCTGCTCGTAGCGGCGCAACGGCACCTCCTTGCCGTTCTCGTCGGGGACGCGGATGCCCTGGGGCGAGGGCTTGGGACCGCGACCCACCCAGAACTTGGCGTCTGCAACACCAAATCGAAGTCAGTTTATGAAAGGTTTCTGGTGAATTGAAAAACCAAATGCAACAACGACAGGAAATATGTTGCAGTCATATTTTTGTAGGACGTCAAGAAAAAGTAGCGCATTGGCTAACCTGGGGCCTCGCCGTCGTACGAGAAGGAGGGCACCAGCAGGGTCTGCGCGTCCACGACCACCACGGGGTCGGAGCTCACGCCGTGGATGCCGCTCAGCGAGCCGATCTTGTGCGGTTTGGGCAGCTCCAGGTTCTTGGGGATGCGCACGTCGCCGAAGTTAACCTGAGAGTGCAAAGTAATTTTGTGGTTAGTTTTAACGACGGCGCGGTACTTTGGTCCCTTTGAGGCGACGGAATCCCGTGAGATTGTCGTGTCGTGAGGTCCTTACCGAGAACTCCTCGCACCAGATGGCGAACCACTTGAGCTGGTGCAGCGTCTTGCCCTCCGGCAGCGTGATGGTCACGTGCTTTCCTCGGTAACGCTTCAGGGGAGTCGCCCTGCAGTGATACGAGGCGAGAGGCAAATGAGTGCAAGGCAGTGCAGTACAGGAAATCTACAATTTCTATCATTTTAAAGTGTGAACTGTAGATACGCTTCCAAGTAAATCAATCATAGAAACAAAACCAGCGGTACTGGTGCTTTCTCTAGGAAAATGACAACGGCGTGAAAGGGACCTGTCATAGTGCTCCCCTTTTATTGTTTTTTTTTTCATTTAGTTGCTTTTCTGTGGAATGCCACTTGTACTTACGACCCTCTCTCGTCCCTGATGCGGAAGCCCTGCGCGCCCGGGGCCTTGCTGTTGCCGGCGTAGAAGTACGCAGCTGTAAAAGAGAAATGTTTCGGATGAGCTTGGAGTGCGCGAGGAACAGCACGGCCAAAAGGCACGGCCAAAGGCACGCAGCGCCTGTACCTCTCGCTCTACTTTCCGGCGTAATGAATTCCGGGAGAACCTTGGTAATGATATGATGATGACTGCTGGCCCACTGATATGCGCGCGTGTTCGAAAATTAATTATAATATAGTGCTATATTTAAAAGAGGATGCAAAAATTCAATTTTAAAAAGAAAATCTTTATTACTTTATTATTACTTCTGTTTTCAATGTCCGGAACTTTCATAAATTTACACAGACTGAACTCAACATCCTCTGCATTTTGTTTAGCTACTTTTATGGCAGGGCTTGACCTCTAGATTGTATCTTTGGTGTATCTACTGTGGGTGACTTCACTCTGATTAAACCGCAGAGCCTGTTTTTCTCTCTTTTTTTTGTATGTTTGTTTGTAAGACGGCAGTAGAGGGAAGTCCAGTCCCCCGCAGGAATATCCCATCCTAGTCCATTATGCATGGCTCCCGAACGACGTGCGAATAAAGCGAGATGCGAGCGAGAAATAGACACGATTCGCTCGTCGAAAGGGGAGAATGATAAACAACAAAAACATCAACAAAATGTCCCACACTTTAGACAAGGTGAGCGCGGAGGCGGTGGGGTGACATGGACATGACCCACATGGCGCTCTGCCCGGTGCGCCGCGCCCCGCCCCTCCGTCCCACCCTGATCCGACACGCCCCACCGGCGCCCGCGAGCCCCAGTCCGCGGTGACCCTTGACCCCGCGACCCTGCGCGTAACGGCCGCCCGGCGCGCCGCCCACGCCGCGAGTGCGCCGAACGGCGCCACAAGTGCGTGTAATGCCCCGGCCTGGCGCCGGCCAAGATCTGCACCCCCTACGCTGCAAAACACTGAGCTGAAAGTCGGCCGGTGGGGTAAATCCAAGCCGATCCAAGTGTGCCCCAACTTGTCTGTTGTTTTCTTAATTTTTAAATGTGGTGGAACAATAGGTATAGCCAATAGGTGGAGGGGCGTAGCGCCGTCCCAAAATAAAGCAGAACGCAGGCGACCATACAGAGTTATATGGCGAGGGGATGTCATGATGTGTGATCCTCGGCTCTCGATGGACCAAGTTTTGTCGAATTCGTAAAAAAAATGAATGGCCCCAGATTATAATAGAAAATGGCATATTGTGTGAAAAAGTAGTCCCGCAAATTTTGGCTTTTTCAAAAGTATATAAGTTGACACAATCTTCAAAACCGTCCCAGTGTCGTTGTCGAGGTTAGTATGGACATGGACATATTGCATTGGTACCATTGTAAATCAATAATAATGATACTAAACTGTTTAAATATCCCTTAGTGAAGGTTACACCAAAGGGCTAGATGTGTAGGCCCGTTCAAAACTATTTAAAATCATACGACACGCAACCTAACCTCTGCGAGACTGTTGCTCAATCATGATTTGTTTAGGGGGGACGGCGGTATACCCACCAGGCCAGGCCACCCCGTCAGCGCAGTCAGCGTTACCTCCTCCCTCTCATCGGTCAGCTTCCTCGTATTTTTTTTCATCTTTTTCGTACATTATTTTTTGTAAAATTTTCCATGCGTTTTCTGTTGTTTTTTCTCAGATTTTTTGGGGTTAAGTCCGGTGACGCCCTGGAACAACCGAAAGTGGACGACTCACCCGGACCCTCGCCGTCGTAGTGGAGGTCCCGGATGTGGATGGTGCGCGCGTCGACGGCGAACACGTTCCCTCTGACGCCATGGTGGAAGCGGGTGAGCTCGCCGAGGGGGACGCCGAAGTAGCCGTTGTTGTTGTTCTGCTGGGCCGTCGCTCCACCTGGAAACAGAGAACAAGGGGGTATATGAGAAACGGGGGTGGGGCGGGAGATTCAAACACCGTCGTCAGAAAGGAGGCAAAAAAACATGTCTGTCCAGTAACGTAATAGCGAACGTGACGAGAGCGGCGGGCAGTAACGCTTCGTCCGGCCGTCGCGTCGTGGGGTCGTGGGAACCAGGAGGCGCTCGAGGCCCTGCTCTGGGAACGCCCCGTGGAACACCCACAGCCGCGGCGCCGGGCGTCCCATACGCCCATCATCTGCATAGCCGCGGCATAGCCGCAGACCGGACCGCGGACGCGTGCGGGGCTCGAACGCGGAAATGCAGCCAGTGCGGTCGCCAACGCGGGACGGGCCGCGCGGCCGGGCCAGAGAAGGTGGAGAAGATGAAAAATGTTACAGCGCGCCGGTGCGCAGCAACACGCCGCGAGGGCAAAAATGGGAATGAGCGAAATATTACAAATTCAATGAGAAATCAGAACGATACCTGAAAGGAAGTCACCATCGCTCTATGTGTATGTGGTGTATGTGTGTGACGGCACAGCTCGACGCGTCGCGCGCTCTGGGTGTCAAAGTCGCACGAGTCTCGTAGTGTGGCCGGTCACGGCTCGCCTGCTCGCACGCGTAACGCGCAAGGGAAGGGTAAAAAAGAAGGAGTAGGTAGCGAATCATTTCGCTTTCCTCCTCTCCTCTCGACTCGACTCGGCACTCGGCTCGGCCTCCGCCGAGTAGAGCACAGGGAGGAGCTGGCCGACCGCCTGTCCGTCCAGCTTGGCGCGGTGCACCTCTGATGGATGGGCCGGGCAGATGACACCGTATCTGCGAAATCCATTTAAATCGTGCTGAGCGGGGCCGCGGGGGGCCGCGAGAGAGAGAGAAGGGGGAGGGGGGAAAGAAAGGGGGGCCGCCGACGTCCCGCTGCGCATACCCAACCAACCACGCGGAGGGGCGGCCGCGGCCGGCCGCGGTGCTGCTGCGATGAGGTGAAGGGGCAATGCCGGCCATGGATCATGGCGACTGGCCATAAGCAGCTTAACACCTGCCACAACAGTATGGCAGCCCGCGCCGCGCCAGGTGTCGAGCCTGTTTGAAATTGTTAAGACGTTTTGATATGCATGACGCAAACAAAGCCACAGTTTTTATATTCCTGCCAGATGCGGAGATTCCTTTATTTTTTTGGCAACACGACATTTTTTGTCACATTTGTCGTTATTGGCACAGAGAAATAAAAAAATACAGGTTTCAATTAAAGGTGACGATTTGTTTTTTTGGCTTTGGTTGAAAGTAAAAGTGCAGCGGACGGGGCTCGTGTGCTCCTGCTATGCGTTTGGAATTAAAGACTTTCTGTTCGCGGCGCGGACTTCACGTGCGTGCCGCGCGGTGCGTCTCCGTAATTGTGACAAAATTACGTCATGTACCCAGCAGTGCGTATGAGTACCTGTGCGCGAGAGGGATGCAAGTAGTGGGGGAAGGTGAGGGGTATTTTGGAGGGAGGGGGGGAGGAGAGAGAGAGAGAGAGAGAGAGAGAGAGAGAGCGTGCCTAGGCCCCCTGCCTCGGCCCGTGCCGCAGTGCACAGTAGTGTATATCGTGTGCGGCTCGCTCGCTAACAAGAAAGCTAGCGGAAATAATGGCGGTCAGGCAGGCAGGCAGGCAGGCGCACGCAGAGGAGCTCGAGCCCGGCAGTAGTGCCCGTGGCAGCTGCAGGTGGCGGCCAGCAGCGCTCGCTGCAGGAGGTGAGGTGCCCGCCGAGGGGTCGTCAACTTCGATATTCCTCCGTACACGGACTGATATTACCTCAAATATTACATCAATATTAGCCATATTACTGGTAATATTACCTCGATATTACACATTTTTCTAGTATTATGACGTCATAGCTTGAAAATTGGCTCAATATTACCAATATTATTTGTAATATTCAATATTCCTTCGTACACGGCCAAGGAGAGTTGACGACCCCTCGGTGCCCGCCCAGTGCTCGCTCGCGCAGCCTGCATCATACGATACTACTGCCCGGGCCGGGCGGCGCGCGCTCACACACTCACAGACTACTCCTTTCTCCAGAGCAGCGCCCATAGCTCTATAGGTAGGAAGGGGAAGAGCGCGGCCGGCGCGTGCTCTGCGGGCTCTGCGCGGACCACAGCCCCACCTGTCAACATCTGCTCCAGCAGGTGCCGCAGCAGGTGGGCCAGAGTGGGGGAATGTTACACTATATCTCCCTTCCCCATCTTCTCATAATCCCGCTTTTTCATCGGTCTTTTTTTTTACCATCCCGATTAGGTCCTGTTTTTTTGCTCTGGCGTTTTGCTTTTCGTCCGCCACCACCTCAGGAGGTGACCTCGCGCCTCTCGTATACTCGGTCACCCGCGGGGTGAATGTAGAACGTTCCGTCCCTCTTCGCTCCGTCCGGGTCACCCGCACGCGGAACCGGTCCATAGTCTTAGACTTAAGAGGACACACACACACGCGCGCACACACGCACACACTCACATTGCTAACGAATATCTCGCATTGTGATTATTGAGCAGACGGAGTGAGAAAGTGGAGTGGGCACCCTTCTCCCAAGCCACCGCGCACCACGCCTCGGTTAGCGGCCGAACCTCGGTCCACGCCACGCCACGCCCCGCCACGCCACGCCACGCCGCTCGCTAACGACGGTCTACCCCACGGCAGCTCTGCAGTGAGCGGGCGCGGAGGGCCAAACGAATCGGACACTGGCACGCACGGGCCATGCCCAGCGAGAGAGAGAAGAGGGGAAGGGGGAGGGGAGAAGGGAGAGAGGTAGAGATGTTTACCGTCGATAAAAACTCTGGTCGCTGCTGTCCGTGCTCGACGCCTCTGCGACGATCTTGTACTTCTGTGTAAGAAGCGTTGTCGTTAGTCCCGCCCGCCCCGCCCCGCTCCGGCGGGACGCCACGAAGCAGAGGGACTTTGCCTGCTGCTCCTGCTGCCCCTTGCGACATTGCGGCGGCCTCGGGGACGGGGCGCGGCGGGGCGCGGCGGGCGCGGCGGGCGCGAGCATTGTGGTGCGGCACTCGCGAGGGCGAAGCATTTGGGAACATCACGACCGGCAACAACTGGCAAAAGGGTTTTGGCGGCTCGGTTTCATTTATTGCCCCTATTCTTCTTCCCGTTCACCTACTCGAGCCTCACCTATCCACCGCCGTGGAGAAAGGCGGCACCGGCCTGGTCGGTCCGTCACCAAAGGAGTACCCCTCCCGTTTCGCGACCTCGCCTACAAGTAGGTTTACAGGTGACTCGGTTCATATATTCGACCTGCCAGTTTTGCTGCTTTACAGCCTTCCCTGGCTCACACGACAGCCCGCAGCAGAGCGAGCTGTGAGCGATGGAACAACTGTTTCGCGCGACTTTCTGTGCACGATGACACATTAGATGACTTTTGTTTTGGTTTGTGTGAGTTTGTTTTTTTGTTAGTCGTTTCCTTTTTTTGACTGTGTACCGCGGCAGGCTGATGGGGCATTATAAAGCGCGCGAATGTCGGGCCGGGTCGGTCGGGGCTCACAAGGGAACCTTTTCAGGTGTAAATCTCCGATTTCGTTGAAACTTGGAAAATTTGAAGGTTATTTATGTAGAAATCGGATGGCACTTGAAATTTTTCCTAAACCTGACATTTCGTTTTCCCCTATATAAGGTAGGAGTAAGGTGTTAGAAAACTAATATTTTCAAAAAAAATGTAAAGCAGTGTTCTCTGGGGAAACTCGTCAAAGTAGTGCCCTCTGGGCCAAAATTTTGTCCGTTTTGCTTTATTTTGAACTGTTAAAGCGGTAGAGGGATATTTGGAGCAAAAAACAGTGTCAGGCTTAAGTAAACCCCTAGTAAATGTTAGGTATAGGAAAAATTTCAAGTGCCATCCGACTTCTATTATAATAACCTTTAAATTTTCCGAGTACCAACGAAATCGGAGATTTACACCTGAAAAGGTTCCCTTGTCAGCCATTACAGCTGCCGCAGCAGCGGTGGTGGCGAGATGTTAATCGCCCGGGCGACACCTTGGCACAGCAGCAGCGGCCTGGGCCGCATCACCTGCTGCAGCTGCAGGTGGGGAAGAGCGAGGTGTCGCGTCGTGAACTTTAGCAACAGCCTCCTCACCGAGCGCGGTACTGCAGCGGTGGTGCGGTGTGCAGAGGATGACCACGCCCTCAATTACCTCCTGACGCCGCGCGCTCCACTTATGACGCCCGCCGCCGTGCGATAAACCGCGTCAAAAGTACGCCGAACCATACCGACGTGTAATGACGCGGCCTTCTTTGCGCTCCTCTCAGGCCACACCTGGCTAATGCTGGGCGGTTACGAAAAACAACCGACTATCGAGACCAAAAGAGTGCGCGGCGCGCGCGAATTTTTAAAATCGAAAATCTGGGTTTATGGTTGACGAACACCCAACGCGCTGTCAGAAGTATTATTCGACCCCGTTAAAAAGCAACGGTAAATTATTTACAAACCGAATGGCATGGACCCTAAATTAACATATTTGCATTTACACAGCACACGCCGTATTTTATTTAAACTCTGCCTTTAGGTTTACGAAAATACTCGCGAAAATAGATTGTCTGCTAAAATAAAGAGCAAAACTGCCAATTAAGAACCGTCATAACTCGTCAACAACTCATCTGCGTGTGGTCCGCAAGGGTCCGCCATACGGCGCCTGCAGGCTGCCGGGTAGGCCACACGCTCGACACGCGTGTGCCTCGTCCAGAGATGGTGGCCTACCCCGCAGCCTGCAGGCGGCGTGCCCTCTATGCGCACACAGGAGGAATTTCAGAGTCCGAAAGTTTTCTAGTAAAAAATGGAAAAAGTTGTAAATTTTCCCCAAAATTTGAAGTGCTTAGGAAAAAAAATTCAGATATTTGAAAAAAAAAAGTTCTAGAAAAATTTCCCCAATAAACAGCCTACTTTTTTGAAAATTAAAATCCCTATGCGGGCATACTCGCACGCACTCACACTAGAACCGTTTCCTAACGCCCAAAGCCGCCATGCTTG